ATATATATATATATATATATATATATATATATATATATATATATATATATATATATATATATATATATATATGTCGTGCCGAATAGGTAAAACTTGCGATTTTAGCTTAAATAGCTACGCTCTTCTTGCCGAATAAGGCAAGCTAAAATTTGTGTATGCAATAATTTCGCAAAAATCATTCTGAACGTAAAGAAAAAATATATTTCATTGTTTATTATTAAATTATTGTAAACTTATCTAAAATATATTTAGTTGGGTTAGGCTAAATTAAATTGAGCTTGTTATAATAAGGTTAGGTAAGTTTTCTGAGGTTCTTTTGGTACAGATTTATTAATTTTTACATTTATTAATTTTTAAATTAACATAAATGAGAAAAAAATACTATATCCTTAAACATATAAGAGAAAATTTTAGAAAGGACTTAATTTTAAATGAGTTCTTGCTAATTGACCTATTTTAGCTATTGGGCACGACACACACACACACACACACACACACACACACTATATATATATATATATATATATATATATATATATATATATATATATATATATATATATATATATATATATATATATATATATATATATATATAGAGTGTGTGTGTGTGTTTGTTTGTGTGTGTGTGTGTTAAATGATAAGGTCTAGGCACCACGAGCATGATTTTGCTGTAGCTAAAAATAGATGATCAAGTAATCACTCCCCCTCACCCCCACCCCCGCCCCACACACACACACACACACACACACACACACACACACACACACACACACACACGTTAACCTCCACATTAAGCAGAAACCAAATGAACCAGAAAACTATAAAGGTAAGACTAACGATATGTTAAACAAAAATGTAAATGACAATGAAAACAAGGAGTTGGTGGATGAAAGTGAGATTAGTAGAAACCAAACCAAACATGAAACTTAGGCAAGTGATAAATGCCATATTCCATGAAGGATACCATATGATGAGGAGAAGGCGAAGAGTGGTGGGTGGAGTGATGGCGCTACCAGTTATTGATATGTGGAGGTTTCAAGGGATTAATTATCTTTGTAGTAGAAACTTCAGAGATTTCAGCTGGAATGATAGAAAACAGAAGTAGGTTACAATTGTCCGCAAAAAGTCGAAATGACGAAGATATGAGTGCAAGGAGAACAACAGGACAATGATGCCAGTTCTGGAGGAAGCAACACAAATAACTCCTAAGGTGCTGTTGATGCAGCCTCTCGTAATACATTACCTTTCATCTTGAAAAATTCTGGGGTGCTGTTAGTACAGTTTCCTCTTTAAGACAGCCAGGGTGCTGTTGGTACAGACCTTCACAACACATCGGGTAGACAGCTCAAGAAGAATATTTTTCACCTGCTAGTTAGGAGAGGCGCTGTAGTGTGAGTTATGTATTCCAGAAAACACTGTGTAAATCCCGGCCCTGATGCTATGCAAATCTTCACAGGCCAAGCATTGAGATTCACTCCCAAGATTCTGGGTCTGGTAAATATTCGGACTCGGGGAGTTTGGTAAAGAGTGAGTGTTTGAAGTGTTTGTGTGTGTGTGTGTGTGTGTGTGTGTGTGTGTGTGTGTGTGTGTGTGTGTGTGTGTGTGTGTGTGTGTGTGTGTGCTTTATTGCGTACGTGTTGCAGTGTATTTTGTTTAGGAAAAGAAAGAGCGAGGGAGATCACTCCCTTCTTCCATTACCCTCTTCAGCCTGGGTTTACTTTACCGGGCCGCGGGGACGTTGATCCCCTGAATACCCTCCAGGTAGGCAGATAGACCAACCACCCCAGAGCGTCTATTTTTTTCCCCACCAGGTTGACAGCCCCACCATCATCCACATCCACTCACTCATCAGTCAGGCAGCCACCTTCATCCAGTCATAAGCTAGCCATCTTCATTCACTCCATTCCCTCCTCACCGGTCAGCTTACATTTTCAGATAGTCTCCTGAGGGATGGTAGTTGCCAAGTGTTACGCCCCTCGTTTGTGAACCTTCTAGGTCAGGTATGATGTATAAGTAACGGGCTTTTTCACTTAATATTATATTATTTCTAGCCTCATTAGTAGCTAAAATGAGGATAGAGTACTTTATAATATTATCTGGCCTTAATTTATTTAGCTGTGTAAATAGATAAGATGTTTCGATGATGTAAACTACGGGTACAGTTGTTTATTACCCGCCTGTCGTTTAGCCACTGTCCCCTCTTAATCCGAGGTGACGTCAATCTGAGAATTCTGTTATAGGGCAGTCCACTCTCACCTTTCGTGAGAGAAGCTCCTTGATTCCTGGATTTAACCTTCTGGTCCCACATGAGGTTCCCTAGTGACCTTCCAGCACCTCGGACGGTATCAGACAGAAACGTCTCAGACGAAGTGTGTGTTGCTGTATTGGAGACGCTCTGCTAGGAGCGAGTTTAAGCAGTATTGGTTCAAAGAGGACGGCGAAAAAGTCATGGGAGACAGACTCGCCTCAAAACTCCTTTAAGTGTATAATATTCCTAATCTCGCTTAGTATATTTTGAAAGTTGAATAAGAGTGAATTATTATTGAAGTGTTACGTTTTCTGTCTCATTTAGATTGAGTTAAGCAAAGTGTTATTATATGAAGTGAAGGTGTTATGATACTAGAGCCATTCAGTACTATAAACAAGACAGAATATTGTATATTATCTTTTAAGTGAACTCAAGTGTAAATTTCATGAGTACTCTGTTTTTTGGTGCGACCTTTTTTAAAGTTAATATAAAACCCTTCTATGGTTTATTAAGAAACTTAATAAAAAACCGGAAAGAAACATTGTGATTGTTTACTACTGAAACCTTGAATGATTTCATCTAGAACAGGATATTCAATCCTGTTTATTTGTTGCAAGAAAGGGCTAAACAGGCTTAAGTAGTGGCCCTGTATGCAACACCAAGTGATAGGAACATCAGCTCTGCTGGAACGAAACCTTTGAAGCTCCCACAGCTGATGAACATTTACTGGAATGCTTGACGATATCTTCGTTGTGCTAACGAGTTTTCCACTGTCATGTTCCATAACGTAGGATGCGACCCATCCTGCGCGATGGCATATAACAGGGAAACATGTTTAGCTTTTGTTTCTACTGTATAACTGTATAACACGCTGCGGATGTAATTAATTTATCTAAATAGAAACAGATAAATTTACTGGGGATCTGTCGGCCTCTGGGATGGTGAACCTTTAATGGAGTACTTGACGATATCTCCCAGCTCAGGCTGACAGATTTCAGTACAGTGTATGTGACCCATCCTGTGTGATGGAATATGACGGAGAAAAATAGTTTGCTTTTGTTCCCATTATGTAACTCATATAGAATAGGGCAGCAGCACACTGGTGCTGCATCCAGGTCTGCTAAAAAAAAATCACCTCAGCAGACAGCCACCTCCATCCCCTCAACAGACAACTATCTTCCCACCTCATCTTAGTACATTAAAACACACACACACACATATTTATTGTCCAAAATGGATGCTGTTAGTAGCCTCCTCAGTCTGATAATTGGTTTTACATAATAGATTAAAGGAACCATGTTGATTTGGGCGTAACAATTAACAGCTGGTCTCCTAATAACAAACCTCGACATTTGCCTTCCTAATGATGCTTAAATTAGTTTATAACAGTGAGTTTAACTCATGGATGTTATTGAATGTGTGTCATCACTAATGAGGAATTAAGGTACGTTTCGTGTGAATTTCATCTCACATTAAATTATTTCATAGTAAGAGCTGACGAATTAATAAAAGAAAGAATTTTGAAAGAAAAAGTGGAATATAACCTTGGTCTGTTTCACGCATTAGAAATAATATAAAGAGAGAGTTGATTGAATGTGAATCTTGCAGAAAAGCCTGAGTAGGTGTATAATTCACTGTAACATGAAAGTGGATAAGTATTTTTACGGAAGAAGTTGCAATGTAAGCAGACAGACGAATGTTGGAGTAGGCAGGCTCAGGCTTGGTTACAAGTACTTCCTACAGTTTGGCATATGAACAGATGATCAAACCAGCCAGCCTTATGGGCACTTTCTTGAACACAGTGTGCCTGATTGTTCACATATTGAGAAGTGTAGTGATAGCACTCTTACCTATATGATATTCAGAGTTATCTTATAATACTGCAAATAAGATAACAGGAATTTTAAGTAACCTTTCTAAGGCTTGTAAATGTATCCAACTTTAATCTTAGGTCTTAGTTCCTGTTTTTGTGCCTCCATATACTGTGGTGCTAGGCTTCATATGATAGATATAAGGTGTACAGAACACTAGCTATTTCGGTAAAAATTGTAATTGAACGCTTTCTATGAATTCTCTATAATGTTTAAGTGCAGTGTATATTTATAACTGAGCGAATCTACCGTTCTTATCAGTAAAAAATCGAGTTGAAGAGTGATAAGAGAATCAACGGGTAATGTGGACGTGATAGAGGTAGCGTAGTGCCAGTGGCTGGGTTTCCTGCTCTCAGTGTGGCGTCACAGTGAAGTACCAGTGTTTTTATGTCTTTGCAGTGCTGGAGTAGCTCGGTGTTTACCCGTCCAGTGTGATTTATAATACTTAAAGATCCTAAAGGGTGTAGTGTTGTCTTTCACCTCTCTAGTGGTAGCGTTCTGAGGTGAAACTAACGAAGATGATGATTCTGTACGAATCTCAAACCTCACATAAGGTGATACTGGAGGGTAATGTGTGTTATTCCGTCACGAAGAATACCGTATCGTGAAGTACTAATCCCCCCGAAAAACATAACAAATTATTTTTAATATTTTGTTACGTTTATAATATTTTTTTTTTCTCAGTGTCGATTGAAACAAGATTCATAGTGATGTTGCCAGCTTGACCTGAAGGGGATGTAGTGAACGGGAGGCAAACAGCAATCCTGTTTACTATACTTGTATATCTTCCTAAATCTCTGTCGTGGATGTTACACTCCTTTATACAATCCGGTATTTAATATCTACTGTTGGCACTTTATACTACGCTATAGTGTGTGATCATATTAAATGGAACCTTAATTATGATATATCGAGTGATGTACCTTGATTAATGCTAACATTCATTATGCACTGCATATCAGTGCATCAAGGGACCAACACTTATACATATACATCAATGGAGATTAACAATAAATTGATATATCAACACGTAACATGAACATGGTGTGCCAACACGTGTAACGTGCTAACATGTGTTAAACTAACACGTAACACATCAACACGTGAAACATTAAGGTCAGCTGCTGTACAAGATGTGACCATCCTGCCACAAGAACAAAGTTATGCACAAGCATTAGACGTGACAAATCAGACTGGCATCTTCAAAATGGATTCTGAGTCATCCGTGTCAACATTCTGGTCCAACTTCTACACAGTACGGAAGAAGAGTGCTAAAAAGGAATTATTATGGAACAGATTTCGCTCTCCTTACGATACTTCCCTCTGTGCTGAGAGTCCTACAACCCCTTCTTCTTCTTCTGGACCATCCTGCCACCGAAAAGCAACAAACACTGTGCCCCCCGAGGTGCCCTGTCATAGAAAATCTGGGGGAGATTCTCGTAGCTCTCTTTCCCTTTCGTTGACTAAAAGATTATTTTCGGGCTTCAGTACACTTCAGTACCAGCGAAAATCAGGATCCACCACACCCAAACAATCGTATATTAGGGCCTCTAATGATTCACTGGTTGAAAACACGAAGTGGCCAACAGAGGGAAAGCTACGGGCATCGAAGTCAGCTGACTCTCTCGCAGATCGCTTCATCTGGGAGAAAAGTGGCTGGTGGCGCTCTGGGAATAGAGTTTCGGATACCAGTAAATCTACAGATGAATTAATAAAAGTTAGAAACAAATGGCTGGAGAAGCTGGATCAGTGTAAAGTTTATTCTGGCTCATCGAAGTCGGATGAGACTTTGAATGTCGACTATGGGTTACTCACTGATCCGCATGGCGCTCTACTTAGTAAAATTTCGCCGAGGGCATCCTCAAGTCTTCGCCAGATACAGAAGTGTGTCTGTCAGAGCCCGTCGCTTAACCTCAAACCATGGAACGTCCATACAGGTAGAGAGAGAGCACCGAAAGAAGACCTAAAGAGTGATCAGAAATTCGAGGATGCCAACTCGCTATTAGACACAGAAAAGCTTGCAGAGCGCCAGTATAGACGGAATCCTAGAGAGGATATCGGGAAACGTGACATGATTCTTACAATGAGTGACACACACAACCATCCGCCACTTACTGTTTGTCCTGGACATCGCCTTGCCAGATCTCGCAGCTGCACAAGATCCAGTTATCCCGTGGTGTCGTCTTACACTGGAGCGGCTTTTCATTCTCTGAGCCCCAACAACAGAGCCTCAAGTTGCGTACGAGAAATGTCAGAAGTGACGCATGCAGACAGAGATAGAGGTCTCAGAATACGCCGATCGAGATCTTGCCAAAGATCAAAAGTTAGAGAGGAGTTCATTAGAGAGAAAGAAGCATCGTCCTCCCCCACACTCCATACATTCCAGAGCTAAGAATTAATAAATACAACTTGAAGACCCGTTTTCCGAGGGTCGATCAACGGAGGGCGCTGTCTACGTGCAACCAGCTGCCTATGAGAGACCCTGAACAGGTTGTTCCAAACTTGTTCACCGGTGAAGGAACGATGAGTGGAAATAGTATACTAACCCTCTCAACACGTGAAGACCCATTTGAGCACTTGAACAAGAGCAAGACTTGGAGTCTTAGGCGAAGTGTGCTAAGGACTCCCGTAAATCGCCGCAATAGGATTCAGGACACACCCAATCTTTTTCATCCAGTTTCTGTCGGAGGGCAAATCATCGCTACTGCCTGACAACGAGGCAACACCACTCTTAAGCAACATGACCCAATGTGGAGCATCTTGGACGTGTGTGTGTGACGTGTGTTATGCGTGTGTGTGGCCGTGTGTGTGCGTTGTTGTCGTTGTTGTGCGTGTGTGGTGCGTGTGTTCAGTGTGTGTGTGTGCAGGGGCAATGTGTGTGGCTGTGTGTGGTGTGTGTGTGTGTGGTGTGTGTGTGTGTGTGTGTGTGTGTGTTTACCATTTGTCAAAAGCACTTGTCGGTAGACACTTAGCGGTTTTTTTTTTGTGTGTGTGTGTGTGTGTGTGTGTGTGTGTGTTTGGTAATGTGCCTGGGTATTACGTCAGTCTATAGATTAATGTACAGTTCTTCTTCATTAACACGAAGGTAATTTTTTTTTCACTTTTCATGAATATCCATAGGAATGAAAATGGGTTTCAACACACGTGTGTCGCAGGCTGCTGTGATGCCGTTAAAGAGCACTTGGTCCACGGAATTGGAGCTACTCTCTCCTTCCTCGGATCAAACCTTATTGTTTCCCTTTCCCCAACCTCTCTGTGGCTCCTACGGGTTTAGCCCTTTTCCACGACTATCATTCACTTGTGTGTCATTTTTCAGTGTACTTGTACTAAATAATTTAATTTAATTCTGTTTTTATTCGTCAGTAAATTAAGTCAGCGATATGCTTTAATAATTATATGTTATCTGCCAGTGGTTCTGGGTACTATCTTCTCCAGGTCCTGGTCTCAGACCAGGTGTTGGTCTCAGACCAGGTCTCATGACTTGGAAAGGAACTGTTAAGAAGGACTTGGGGAAGGTGAAGGTATGTGTATAGTGATTATAAGTAGGAGTTTAGTAAGATTTATCCGTCATCTTACATATTCATGAGAGAAAAAGAAGAGATCAGTAATCCTGCTGGAGTACCCCCTATCGGCGGAGTCCTGACGCCCCCCACCCCTCTGGCGGAGTCCTGACACCCCCCTCTCGGCGGAGTCCTGACACCCCCGCTGTCGGCGGAGTCCTGACACCTCCGCTCTCGGCGGAGTCCTGACACCTCCGCTGTCGGCGGAGTCCTGACACTCCCCTCTCGGCGGAGTCCTGACACCCCCCTCCCCCTCTCGGCGGAGTCCTGACGGTCTCTCTGTTGCTTACCTCTAAAGCTATATCTGACAATTTATTCTAATGGCGTGGTCCACTCAGTGGAATTTTGAAGATCCCATCATTTTGATCTAATCCATGAGCTGCCACACACATTCCACACTCATTTGTCCGAAATTCTCCGCATAACAATGGACTTTCTACATGTACAACTGTCACCTGTCTCTGTACAGACATTGTATCACGCTGAAATGTAGACGGTAGATGGTTGCTGTCTACCAGCCTTCTGCTGCGTGAATGTGCAAGTTTCCTAGAACGATTATTTACATATAAATCTTTAATAATAACTTAGAGTGATCAAGCTTCAGGCGACACTGTGACGGCAGATATTACTGTTTACATCCAGTCGTAGCCTCGGTTGGTTATTATTATAATCAAGGGGAAAGTGCTAAACCCGTAGGATTATGCAGCGCCTGTGGGGGGGGGGACGTGGAAGGTATTCAGGCTTAATTCAGGGAACCGGAACACAACTCCAATTCCCTAGATCAGGAGCCCCTCACCAGCGTCAAGGAACCTTCCTTGAGGGGCCTCGGTTGGTACAGTTGCTCGTACATGCAAAGAATACTCGGAAGGACAATTTTTTAACCTTGAAGAGCATGAAATTGAGAAGTTTAAAAACAACATGAAATTAAGAAATTTCAGACGACCGGGAGCTTTAAAAGTTTAAACTTGAGGCGGAAACATTTCAAGTAACAAGAAATTTACATTTTTATTTCTTATAATATAAAACTGAAACTTTCCAAACAACGAAAAGTTGTTGAAAAGTTGGGTTGGCATTTCCTCCCTTGCAGATAACAAAGTTGAACTCTGCTTCTCCACCGTGTTGACTAACTTTCCTCCAGTTGCAGCAGTTAACTTTACCAACGGTGCTGAAAGGTACAGTTCTTTTTTTAAGTTCGTAAGATATGCGAAAACCTACTTACATGAGCTACTTCTGTTTCGTCTCATGCCTTTAAACAACAAGTGAAAACTGACATTGAGGTGTACGTTATCAAAGATCTTCATTATCAGCAATTAGTGGATGGAACTTATATGTGGCAATACTGTGCCAGGTAGTGTAGCCTTACTCTTTCCAGTACACAGTGCCAGGTGGTGTAGCATTACTCTTTCCAGTACACAGTGCCAGGTGGTGTAGCATTACTCTTGCCAGTACACAGAGTGCCAGGTGGTTGTAGCATTACTCTTTCCAGTACACAGTGCCAGGTGTGTTGTAGCATTACTCTTGCCAGTACACAGAGTGCCAGGTGGTGTAGCATTACTCTTTCCAGTACACAGTGCCAGGTGGTGTAGCATTACTCTTGCCAGTACACAGAGTGCCAGGTGGTGTAGCATTACTCTTTCCAGTACACAGTGCCAGGTGGTGTAGCATTACTCTTGCCAGTACACAGAGTGCCAGGTGGTGTAGCATTACTTTTGCCAGTACACAGTACGAGGTGGTGTAGCATTACTCTTGCCAGTACACATTGCCAGGTGGTGTAGCATTACTCTTGCCAGTACACAGAGTGCCAGGTGGTGTAGCATTACTCTTATCAGTACAGTGCCAGGTGGTGTAGCATTACTCTTGCCACTACATAGAGTGCCAGGTGATGTAGCATTACTCTTGGCAGTACACAGTGCCAGGTGGTGTAGCATTAGTATTGCCAAAACACAGAGCACAACTCTACACGTTATTACTACTGAACGTGTGTGTGTTGTAAGTAATCTGATCTGTTCCCAGCAGCGCCAGGCTCTCTCTCCCCTCATACCCAGCGTGATTCATGTGTTTTATCACTGTTTTCCCTCGTGTTGCTTCCCCCTCATGTAGCTTCCCCTCGTATTGCTTTCCTTCGTGTTGCTTTCCCTCTTGTTCCTTCTCCAAATTTTGTTTTCCCTTATGTTGCTTCCTCTCGTGTTGCTTCCTCTCGTGTTGCTTCTCCTCATGCTGCATCTACTCCGGTGAAGGGCTCTTAATCAAAGGAATTAGAAGTATCCCTCCTCTTTGATAGAAGCTGATTGCCTAACATTTTCCTAACACTGAATGTTCCCTACGTTTTTAATTGTTTTCCCGTGAATTGTAATAAGAGTAATAATAATGTCTGGTTACCTTCTCATCCTTTATTTATTCTTTATGTTCGTCTGCTGCTATCCCGTTTCTTTTTCCTCCTCCTCCTCCTCCTCCTCCTACTGTTGCTGCTGCTCTTTCTATTCCTTTTTTCCTCTCTTCCTCGTCATCGATAATCTACTTTCCTACCTCCATACCTCAAACACTTGCCTCTCACACCTGAATAATACACGATATTCCTTAATCTAGGTACAAGTAGATAGTTCTCTGCAGATAAACACAGTGTAGACTTTCAGACCCTTTATCTTTCTTTTCTATTTACTCCCATGACCCACCATCTTCTGCAGCTGCGTAACACCCTCCTCTCCTCCTTCAGGTGTTGGGTGAGGACGACTCGGGGCTGTGTAGGGGCGTGATCTTCGACGGCAGCACCAGTGCCCGCACCGGGGTCTTCCCCACCTCGCTGGTGGCTCGACGTGACACAAAAGGTAAGTCTTACCTTTCTCGCTCCTGCTGCTGCTGCACCAGCAGTAGCACCAACGTTTATTCCCTTGGTAGAAGAAAAAGTTTGCCCTCGTAGATATAAAGTAAAGACGTCCCAGTTACAGTCTGGGTATCATGTAGGAATATATCTCGTGTGTTTTGTTACATAAATGATGTAACAATCTGGGTACAGATGAAAGTGTTACAATATGGTTAGGAAATGGATGTTTTACTCTGGGTACAGAATAAGACCGCATCTTTCATGGTAAGAATACCTAACCATACCACGGGCGGGATTTGAACCAGCGGTCAGAGAGTCTCAAAACTCCAGACCGTCGCGTTAGACTCTCTGACCGCGGGTTCAAATCCCGCCCGTGGTATGGTTTGTTTGCAATCGTGTCATTACGATTCGTAAGTTAAGAATACCTACTTTCTCATACCTGGATGCAAAATGCATCTTCCACAAGGGTCACCAATTAGGTGCTTCGATGCTGAAAGCTCAGCTTGAAGAGATAAATAGTAGATTCGTCTGAGTGTGAGCTATGACCACTGAAGCTTCACACCCTAGGTATTGTAGCATCATCAAGGAGGCAGTGGTCCGTGCGTGTCATTCAGCTCAATGAATAGTGAAAGCTCGTTTCTTCGTCCTGTGATCAAGAGACAGACACTCGTGTTTTGGGGAGATCTATTGTCTCCCTGCACGGGTCTCCCTGGTCCCTTCATGGTCGTGGTGCATCGAAGTGTGCACTTATTTAATAAAGCTTGTTGTTCCTGAACAAAAAAATAACATGATTTTTTAGTCTAGGTATATAAGATTTTTGTCCATAGTTCCCTCTACAAAAGAAATGCCCAGCACTTCCGGTATTAATAACATGACCATTGTTGCCCTTCCAAAATATGTTTAACATTTCCTGAAAAATGTATATCCAACGTCTTCTGCACAAAAGGTATGCCAAAAATTCCTGGTACAAAAGTCCAACATTCCCGGTACAGAAAATGAGCTCAGCATTAACGGTAACACTATTCTGCCACTGTGATCATCGGGAGGCTTGTCCTTGATACTGACACAACCTTAAGACCGTAGATGACAGTCCTAAGTATGATCATCACCTGACCATAAACATTACATACATTATACATTTAGACTCGTAGGGGTCATACAATGCCTGGAGAATAAAAGATAATGAAGGGCGGGTAGCCTGAAAGATGTTACTCTATCAGTCGCCGTGCTTCAGTCGGTCGCAGTCCTGTCTACAGCTTGTATATCTGCTAAAGTAGGATTAGATCCTCTTAAGAGGAGATCCATGGTTTAAAAAGAAAAGAGAAGAGGCAAGATGCACAACTCTCGCCAGCAGAATTCTGCCTTCTGTACAGTGGACTCGTTGGAAAACACATGATTTGAGAAAGAATTATACTCATGCAAACATTACTCACGGTCGAGCGAACCTCCTTTTATTGAAGTGTTTTATTCAAGTAGTGTTTACAAGAACAACAATACAGGTAGTGTTTACAAAGACAACGCCAGGTAGTGTTTACAAGGACACAACGCCAGGTAGTGTTTACAAGGACACAACGCCAGGTAGTGTTTACAAGGACACAATGCCAGGTAGTGTTTACAAAGACAACAATACCAGGCAAGTGTTCACAAAGACAACAATACCAGGCAAGTGTTTACAAAGACAGCAATACCAGGCAAGTGTTTACAATGATTCAGTTCTAGTATTTACCGTCCATCAGTAACCTGGGGTATAACACAAGAGGTTAAAAAAAAAAATTCTGGCCTCCATTACCGGGGCAACGAAAATGGATAAATGCGGACTGGGAGGGGGGAGGAGGAGGCATTTTTCAGATTAAATTTCCATAATCGTCACATTTGGCGGAAAGTGCAAAATGTGGCGTGACGCAGAACTGCAACAGCAACCCCTTCCCCTACCACCACCACCACCAGTCACAAGCACGCCCCTTCCCCTACCACCACCACCACCAGTCACAAGCACGCCCCTTCCCCTACCACCACCACCACCACCAGTCACAAGCACGCCCTTTCCCCTACCACCACCAGCCTCAAGCACGCCCCCTGCTTTTCGATACCAGCCTCAAGCACGCCCCCTGCTTTTCCCTACCAGCCTCAAGCACACCTCTTCCCCTACCGCCACCAACCTCAAGCATGCTCCCAGCTTTTCCCTACCAGTCACAAACACGCCTTTTGATTTTCTCTACCAACCACAAGCACGCACCTGCCTTTCCTTGCCAGCCACAAGCACAGCCCCTTCTTTCCCTTACCAATCAACAAGCACAGCCCCTTATTTCTGAAAGGTCTGTAACACAGCTCTCCCTGACCACCAGTGAAATTAGTGAGTTTATTTTAATCATTAAGTTTATTGTCCTTCCTCATCTAGCATCGGCATCATCTTACGTGTATTTATTGACGCATCTAGTTGTCTCTACATCTGGTGATGTAAATATGTCTGGCTGTATTTGATAGGGCTAGAGGCAGAATGTAAACCTTTGTCTTTAAACTTATGTCAGATGGTTGGCACTGTGAGCTACGTCAGTACACTGATGATTAACGGAGTGGGAGAACTGTGGGTTGGAACCTTCACGTTGGTCGTGGTAATATTTGTATGAAATCCTTTTAAGTCATAATAAACGACTGCAAATGAATAGATAGAAAGATGGACGGGAGGCTTGAACCGTGGCCCTGGTGGTGGCAGGTCCAGCGCTTTACCGCTGGGCTATGAGGCACATTACAGAGAATGAACATTGAAACAGGCCTTCTCTATCTAGCCTCCAATAGAAATAATTGTCTAACCTATTTTTATGTTACCCAAGTAACATACTCATGTGCAAGTTAATTGTTCTACCATATTATATTACTACTACTACTACTACAACTTATATCACTACTACTACTACTACAACTTATATCACTACTACTACTACTACAACTTATATCACTACTACTACTACTAATAATACCACTAGTATTGCACCTCACTCTGAGCCTATATATACCCTCTGTGTCCATGTACTGTTTGTAACGGCTTGACAAAGCTCCTGAACAGCGAAACGTTGCCACAATAAAAATGTCACATTAGTTGCACTTGTGTCTTTTTACTTATATATATATAATATATTATATATATATAATATATAATATATATATATATATATATATATAATATATATATATATATATATATATATATAGGGGAAGGAAAGAGGGGTAGGGGTCGTCCTCGAAAGGGTTGGAAAGAGGGGGTAAAGGAGGTTTTGTGGGCGAGGGCTTGGACTTCCAGCAAGCGTGCATGAGCGTGTTAGATAGGAGTGAATGGAGACGAATGATACTTGGGACCTGACGATCTGTTGGAGTGTGAGCAGGGTAATATTTAGTGAAGGGATTCA